TCCATGTAAAGGAGGTGAGATATAACCTGACCACCTCTCTTCAACCGGTAACCTAGACCTGAATTCTCAAGCAATGTGCTAAGAGGATTCAAGGCTAGGCAGAACCAAAGCGGACTCAAACTATCACCCTGGAATATACCCCGCTCGATCCTTACAGTTTCGCTATTCGTTTGGATATGTCGACATCCCGGATAGCGAAGGACCGTACTCCATTGCCTCATACAGGACATCAGGAAGGTGCGTAGTTTTGTATCAATTTTATACAATTCCAACACCCTCATGAGCCATGTATGAGGGACAGAGTCATAGGCCTTCTTATAATCTATCCAACATGTCGACAGATCCTTTCGGGAACGTCGAACCTGTTGGCTAATGGTCATATCAATGAGGAGTAGCTCCTTAGTACCGCGGGACCCGCTCTTACATCCATTCTGAGCAGTTGACATATTGTTATTTTTGTCAATATGGCTATTTATTTTACTTCTCAGTATGGATGTAAGAACTTTATAGACCGTCGGCAGACACGTGATCGGTCTATAATTTTTAGGTTCCGTAGTACTTCCTGATTTATGGAGCAGGTGGGTAACTCCTGTTGTTAGAAACTGGGGCAGCGACCCTGACTCTAGGGCAGCCTGGAATTGAGATGCTAAACGTGCGTGCGATCTTGTAAACCACTTAATCCAGAAATTGTGCAGTCCATCCGGTCCTGGAGATTTCCAGTTAGGCAATGGACGGACTGCACGAGCAACATCTTGGGGGCTGATGTTAATTGCCCCCATTTGTGGTATTGGATCACACGCGCGTTTGACCTCCCGAACCCAGTCACCCTCAGTGTGACTGACAGGCACCGACCAGATGCTGCGCCAGAATGAGCACATGGCGTCATCATCCGGGAGGCGCGTGTCAGTCACACCTTGGTCCGGTCGCTCCCAAGCTCTATACACCCACCTTTCATTACTCCGGAATGTGCGATTCTGGGTGTATCGTTGAACCCGTCTCTTGTACCTTCGAATACGGTTTGCCCATGCATACACCTTCTGCTTCAGGAAGTCGATGCGCTCTGTGACCCTGGGCATATAATCTTGGGGGCTAATGTCTGTCCCCGAGAATGCCCGTCTCACAAAGCGCATCACTCTAGGGCGAGTATTGCCCTCCCTGAAGCAAATTAGTTTGCCAATGAGTGCTCTGGCCCCAGCAATACGACGCTCGATCCTGCGTTGCCAGGCCGGTACAGCTGGTTTTAGTCGTGTGGCTACGTCACTGGTTGGGAATTTGACGTGAGCCACACGACATGCCGCTACGGCCGCGCAATACATCATCGAATGTGTATCACTGAGGTCTTCGCAGTCATCAAAATGATTAGACAACTGCGAATCCAGAGCAGCCACTAGCACTCTATTTTTGTTATGCATGGGCAAACGAGGTAAACGTGGTCTGATTTCGGGTGACATGTAGCGATATTCCCGAATCGCACACTCCAAAGCACTCCTCAATTCATCATTGCACTGGGTACTTACGTGTGTAACCGTGTCAGTACTTTCCTCATCAGCGGCGGTACTAACAATACCACGGTTGGACGGTGGCATCATCGCTGGTGCCACAGTCCGTGACGAGGAGGCACCGGCACAGCTACCCATTTCCGTGCGGAGGCGATCAAGTACAGTATTGTCCAACATACGATTACGCTGGATAACCCGTACCTGATCCGACAGTCGTTGAGCTGAGACGTTGATGGCTGGCTCAAGCACCTGAAACAGAGAGAGCATCCGAACACGGTACGCGGTCAGGTTGTTTCCTCCCTCTGTAGCCCCATAGTATGCGCGCATGACGTTTTCATTTATTGGTTGCGTCCATCGCATGCGCTGCACACTTCCGCCAGCGGCTGGGACCCTATCAGAAGCCGATGGGCCTCGAGGTCCTAAGCCTGCCGGCGGCCGGCGTCCTCCCCGGCGACGCGTAGGTGGTGGTGTCGTCGGCGGTGAGTAGTACTCGTCGCTGGAGCTCGACGCAGCTGCCACGGCCGGTGTCTCTTCACTCACGGTGAGGCTGGATCCCGGCGGCGGCGAGGCGGAGCTGAGCGACGAGGCCGGAGGTGGTGGGCGTGCACGGCGTGCTGCGGCTCTTGTCAACATGGTCTCAACAGACGTCCTTTTTTCTCTTTTTCATATTAACTATTTATTGTTCCGTTTTCCACATGTTTTTGTTATTATTATTTTGATTTCCATATTCCGTTTGTATTTATATTGTTTGTCAGCCGTATTTATATTATAATTTAATAAAAATGTTTGCGAGAGAAAAAATTATGATCTGTCTTTTTGACATCGAGCCATAGATTTAAAATTATTATTATTATTGTTAATCTCGAACACGAGTACCTAACGACTCTGATACTGCTTAAAGAATTCCGAAGAGACCAAAGCAGGATGAAGGTCTGAATCTGAAGGTGCAAGGCCAGGACTATACGACAAATGCATTAACATCTAGTAACCAAACCCTCTTAATTTTTGCTGAGGGACTAAAGAGGCGTGACGTCCAGCGTTATAATGGTGAAAAACCACACACCTTTTGTTGACTAACTAAGGCCCTTTCTCTTAACTTATTAGGTCAATCTCATTAGTTGTTTGCAGTAGAGTTCAGGATCGATTATCCTGTCTGGTGGTACCAGCTTAAAATACCTTTCAAATCCGACCACACACGTACCATCACTTTGTTGCGAGTTAACCCAGGTTTTGCCAGTCTGTGAAGCTTGACCGGCCTCTGACTACGACCTTTTTAACACGCTCTTCGAACGTAAACTACTTCTCATCACCGTTCTCAACATCGTTTCATTACGTGTGTAGCTGAGTGTGGAAGAGCCAAGCTTCGGCACGAATGGGTCGGTTCGACCGGCGTGAAACAACCACATCGTTGTGTTTTGCCATGTGAGTAAGGTTACCGGGGGCCCAATCCCTCCCTCTTTTTGTGTAGATACCCAGTTTTTTCAAATGCGTATATATATTCACCGTATGTCAGTGTTGTCTAAATAACCATAGAAAGTACATATAACTCGGAAAAGGTCACATTGGTACATGCCAGGTTTCGAACCGTCATGCTTGAGAAGCGGGCTCCTTAACCTCAGGACCTCAATAGTACCACCCCGAAATAGTATAGCCAAAGAGATTTTATAACAAGTTCATACTCACTTTGAAGCGAAAAGACTTATTCACCAATCCAAATAAAATCGTGCTCGTATAAAAGCTAAGGTATCTTCTATTTAGTATACCTTCTATGAAATGTCTCAGAATACGTCATCTATAATATCGCTATTATTTCAAAAAATTGCAAACTTCGCGAATCGTTTTACATTGTTTTATAAATATTCTTATCTAACAATTTGTCTTTTTGTTGTTGTAATCAACTATTTATGCTTTCTTGATTAGTAACGATTTTCTTAAGTAAATCGCTGTAACGTTGCTGTAACGCTGTTTTCATCTAAGCTTTATTAAGACTGACATGCTCAGCCAACTTCGATACTAGTTTCTCATTATTGGTTTCTAAGACTTCGATGGCATTATTGTATATTAGTGCGTCCGTATGATCTTAATTACCGAATTAAACGGTTTTATTTAGCTCAACCCGTACGGTATTTGTTTAGGCCAAAATAAGAAACTAAAATTTAAGTACCTTCCTGATGTTGATGATCTGAAATTTGGTACACACCTTTAATTCTGATGACAATATAATATACCTAGTAAAATCAGTAACATTTTTACCAATTTCTATCTATAATATTAGTCCGGTCTATCAGTGTGGAATTGTTTATTATGTTTTCAGTTTTCATTTGGTCACGATGTGTCAAGATTTTTATACTGCTGTACAAGATGTTACTTCTGGTTCAGGTTAACGTCGGTGAGATCACGGGGTCGAAATGTCTTCATGTTGTCTACACTTAGTAAAGTACTTTTTTATAATTTCGTGCTATCGTAAATACTCTTTAATGTCTTCTAGCTTAGTTTTGGTTAGAATTCTTGAGGATTTGATATTTCAGATTTGACATGTGTAACGCAATTCCTGCTTTGGCTGTAGTTTCAAATGTAGCTCAGTGACTTTTGATTCTTGAACTTTTGAAAATCCTGAATACCTTTACATGTATGTAATCTCCTTCCCCAAGCAGCTCAATATATGTTGCCTCCGTGTCCGTGCATCTACATGCTAGCGGCCGTTTCCGGGGGCCCATTTTATTGGGTTTGCCAGTCACTTCCTGCCTTTTTATCCGTATATATCAATATTGGTCAGGGGCAGGGGCCATAGTATTTCCACAGTTATCATATCCACCAGTCCATAGCAACCCATACCCATAACCCTTTCAATTATTATTACCACATTTCGCAATAGTCCTAGATCAACCGGGGATTATCCTTGGGTGCACTTTCATAGTGCATACAGGGATAATTGCCGGCTGATGTCCCATTTCATTTATATTAAAGTTGTTCAACGGGCCTCTGCGAGTTGGCTTCGACCCCTTCGTACGCCTTCTAAAGGTTCGTGATCCTGTGATCCCGTGAAAGGAAACGAAAATTTGGATAATAACTTGATATTTAGCATTAAAGGTATTATAGAGATATTATTTTTAAAATTTTAAGACAGAACCGTAAGAACCAAAAAAACCGGTTCCTTGTTTTACAGAACCGGTTCTATCAGTGTCTGGAAGACACTGATAGAACGGGCGACTGATAAAACTGATAGATAGGGCGTCGGAACCGGGAGAAACCGCTTCCGACGCCCTAGTTGCACGGCAGCCAGTTGCCCAGCCACCGCACCAACCGTGCAGTCCTTGTTAAGCCTTTCGCTTATTCTGCAGTATTGTATTACTTTCAGGGTATTTTTTTCTGCAGGTAATCCCACAGACAGTGTTCTGTTGTGCCGAATGTTGTGAAAAATTTTAAAAGATAATTTTATATTCTACAATCTTTGACAATTGTAATTAAAATAATTCGACTTTTTATCGAGATTAGATTATGGCTTCATATCTTTGGGAGCAGCAGCAGCAGCTGATCAGTTCACTATGGTTGACAACAAACTTAGATAGCTGGGGCGATTTGAATGTTGGTATACCTCAGGGCAGCATTATATTACCACATCTATTTCATCAATACATAAAACATTTTTTTTCTTATATTTAATCAATATTAATTTGTTTATAATAAATTGATTACGTTACATTATAACTGTGTTTAGATTTATTAAATATTGTGGGAGCAATTTCTTGTGCTGGAATCGCTACGCCAGGATCTGCAAACAAAAAGTTTAAAATGTTACACAAATTATCACGAAAACCTAATTTAAATTTTACGGAATGTCTGCCACATTTATAATTTAATATTTATGATTTAGGCTCCAATTTGTATCTTACTAATAATAAACGCAAAATTATGTAAGCATGGATAGGGAACGATGTTAGAAACTCGAAATTATGTTGCTATGGACGGATGCTTTAATTGTTACTCTTTCACGCAAATACATTTGAAAATGACTGACATGAGATGAAGTTAAACATCGTGAGGAAACCTGGACTTATAATTTCTAATTTTAAGTTTGAAATCGCCAACCCGCATTTATTGGTGATTAATGCTCAAGCCCATTCCGTGTGAGAAGAGGCTTTTGCTCAGCAGTGGAAACTTATGAGTTGATGATGATGATAAAGATGATGTGATAAAAGCCCGTTCCTTCTCCTGCAATAACAGGCACATATTCTGACGATACTGAAATTCTCTCATCAAATAATTAACTACAGACTACCACACAAAAGCTATGTACCAGTCTTGACCATATATGTCTTTACTTTAACCCGCAACACCGGATGTTTAGCAATGTTTATTCTGGCAAAGCTGACAGAACCTAGTAAAAATAAAATGTTTTGCTCTTACCGCTCTCTTTACAGTTTTTCTTCCGCCGGCAGGTTCGGCCAATAAATAGAATGGTTCCGATTACAGCAGCAATTATCACAATTATACCGATGATACTTGCTGCTATGACAGTCAAATTTACTCGGTTGGATTCCATCCTGGAATTGTAATTTAAAATGACATTAATTAATGAAATAATCGCGAAGCAGTAAAATACAATTATCTGAATTTTATTCTCTGTCAGTTATATTAGTTTGTCATCTACCAATGACTAACACATGAATTATTGAGCTACATTATTTAAATGAATTATAAGTATTTTATAAGCCTACTAACATTAGAATAGAATATGCTTGCAAACTTGCAACACGCAAATTACTCCATTTTTACTTAAATCTTTTAACAATTATAATTTAATGTTACTTATTAATGGTGGTCGCTTACTTACTTTGCCTGTGCATTTTGGTTTTCTTCGCATGTTGCGTTATCATTGTCAGAACTCTCGCATACCCCGTGTGTACAGCCGGCGGCACACCGTGGTACACAAGTATTGTTCTCTGCTGCTTCATACCCAGCAAGACATTCACACGTGTCAGGACCGATGCATTTGCCGTGCACGCAGGGCTTACTGCACACTGGCTGGCATGTTCCGTTACTTGTCTCCGACATTTCCCATCCTGCGTTGCAGAGACATGTGTCAGGGTCGGTGCACACACCATTCCTGCACCCATTGGAACATCGCGGTCGGCAATCATTATTCTTTTCAGAATTCTCATAGCCAAAATAACATTCGCACCTACCAGGAGCTGTACAAGAGCCATTAACACAAGGTGGACTGCACTCTGGTTCACAAGTTTTATTCGTTGTGCCGTTGATTTGTGTCATCTTCCAACCGGGGTTACAAACACACGTCTCTGGACTGATACAAACACCGTGGGGACATCCGTAATGACAATGAGGTATACATACATTCTCGGCAGATTTCACATAACCGGCAAAACATTTACAAGTGTCTGGGGCAACGCAAGTGCCATTTATACAAGGCTTTGTACATTTGGGTTGACACGAACTAATCATTGAATTGTTCAATCTGATTGATTGCCATCCCGCATTACATTCACACTTTTCAGGACTTATACATGTCCCGTTTGGACATCCATTTGTACAGTGGGGCTTGCACGTAAATTTCCCGGAAACTCTATAACCAAGCAAACATTTGCAGGTATTAGGCTCAACACAAGTGCCGTTGACACAAGGCTTGGAACAAACTGGGAGACACGTTTTATTATCATGTGATATGTGCCATCCTGGACGACAATCACAAGTCTCAGGCGCTACGCAGATTCCATGTGGACATCCGTTGGAGCAAAGAGGTTCGCAGCTATAATTGTTAGATTTGACATATCCATTTATACATTTACAGGTCTCGGGAGCTACACAGACTCCATTAACGCAAGGCTTGGAACATATTGGTTTGCACGTTTTATTGGTGGAATTTTGCGCTTGTACCATTTGCCACCCTTCATCACATTTACAAGTCTCGGGGCTGACACAGGTACCATGCGGACATCCACTGGAACAGAAAGGCTTGCAGTTGTACTTGTCAGACTTGACGAATCCCTTAGTGCATTGACATGTTTCTGGAGCTACACAGATCCCATTTACGCAAGGCTTTGAGCAGATCGGCTGACATGTTTTGTTTGTAGAGTTATTTAGCTGAACTAATTGCCATCCTAAATCACATTTACAAGTCTCGGGGCCGACACAGGTACCGTGCGGACATCCACTGGAACAGAAAGGCTTACAGTTGTACTTGTCAGATTTGACATATCCTTTTGAACACTGGCATGTTTCAGGAGCTACACATGTGCCTTCAATACAGGGTTTTGAACAAAACGGTTGACATGTTTTTATTTTAGTGTCGTTCAGTTGAATCATTTGCCATCCTGAGTTACAGACACAAGTTTCCGGACTAACACAAGTACCATTGGGGCATCCACTAGAGCAGAAAGGCTCGCAGCTGTACTTTCCAGATTTTATGTATCCTTTTGTACATTCACAAGTTTCTGGTGCCACACAGATACCATTTATACAAGATTTTGTACATTTGGGTTGACACGAAGTAATCATTGAGTTGTTTAAGCTGGTTGATTGCCATCCAGCATTACATTCACACTTTTCAGGACTTATACATGTCCCGTTTGGACATCCATTTGTACAGTGGGGCTTGCACGTAAATTTCCCGGAAACTCTATAACCAAGCAAACATCTGCAGGTATTAGGCTCAACACAAGTGCCGTTGACACAAGGCTTGGAACAAACTGGAAGACACGTTTTATTATCATGTGATATGTGCCATCCTGGACGACAATCACAAATCTCAGGCGCTACGCAGATTCCATGTGGACATCCGTTGGAGCAAAGTGGTTCGCAGCTATAATTGTTAGATTTGACATATCCATTTATACATTTACAGGTCTCGGGAGCTACACAGACTCCATTAACGCAAGGCTTCGAACATATTGGTTTGCAGGTTTTATTGGTGGAATTTTGCGATTGTATCATTTGCCACCCTTCATCACATTTACAAGTCTCGGGGCCGATACAGGGGTGTGATTCTGTAAGACTTCATTCTAAACTTCGAATCTGAATCCGCGGTGAGTTTCTTGATTGGCATTCTAAAACTCGATTCCTAACTCGAATCTATGCTAGCGCTACACTTTCGAGTGTGTTTACGAGTTGAACTAAATTGACCGCAACATTTTGACAGATAAAGTATGAGATAACGTTGAAAATCGTATTCTATAATGTGATTGCCCCGTCACTTCGACGCTCACTTCGAACTAGAACAAGATTCAAAATGTCAAATTAAAAGTATCTATTTTACGAGTGAAAATGGAAGAAATAATAGTTAGATAGTGTTCAAATTAAGTTTTGAAAGTAACAAAGTGAATAAGTGCTTACCTATTAAAACGATAACGATGGCAAGAATGTTTTTGGTAAAATCTTTGTTAGAAGAAGCTCATGCTTTAGATAAACAAGAAATGCGTCGACAATCTAGCACCATTCGAAGTTTGTCTTTATTAACCTGAGATGACGACTATGTGAGCGTGTATGTGCAATGGAGCTGATTGACCAACTGAAGAATGAGGTACTGCCTTTGATAAAACCCACAAAACGGCGAGGCAAAGGACTTTGGTATGGTATAGCTCATAACATGTATTACCTGGTTAGTTATGTCCCTACTTCAGAATATATAAGTCTAATTACTAGGTTTTATTTATATTTGATTGGTCGGAAACGGATTACCTGATGGAAAGGATTCAGCGCCGCCAATGGATGGTATAGTTCATAGCATTTATTACCTGGTTAGTTACGTCCCTACTTCAGAATATATAAGTCTAATTACTAGGTTTTATTTATATGTGATTGGTCGGAAACGGATTACCTGATAGAAAGGATTCAGCGCCGCCAATGGATACCCGCAACAACAGAGGGATTACGAGTGCGTTGCCGACCTTTTGGGGATTATGGATTTGGAGATTTTGACACACATTCACACGGCGAAACACAACGCTATGGTTGTTTCACGCCAGTTTTCTGTGAGGCCGTGGTATCACTCCGGTCGAGCCGACCCATTCGTGCCGAAACATGGCCTTCGCACACTTAAAATAGTATAAGTACTAGATAGTCATTCGATTTTTTTCAGGTGATTCAGGATATGCTCAACGTGCCTACTTTATGACACCATTAGTGGTGCTGAAGCCAATTCCCCAGAAGCATTTTAAAATAACATACATGCATATTACTGCTTGCAATTTTGAAGAGAGGACAATTAGAGACGAAATTATGTACAATTGCTGAAGTTCAAAGGAGGCAAACTAGGAATTTGCCATCTAATACAGGTTTAAATCTAGGACGTAGGCAAAATATAGTGCCTCAAAGAGCCAATAGACCACCACAGACGGAGCCCTACAGGGCTGATGTTCAGCCACGGTGGCGGGGCAAGCGCAATGAGGTGCCACGGTCACGGCCTAAAGCAGGTGAAGGAACGGGGGGGGGGTTTTAGTCAGTAAGAGTTTGACACTATCTCGCCTTACCCTGGGCGGGAGAAGTGATATGATGATTTTCCCCTGACAAAAAAATATGATTATGATTTTATTTAATTTTATTTTGATTTTAATTCAATTAGGGTCTTGTATGATTTTATTTTTTCCACATTTTTTTATGCGTGTGATTTCATTGTTTTATTACATTTTTTTCTTTTAATTTAGCCTTACGAACCTAATTGTTAGACCCTAGTTAATTTATTGTACCCCATAATTGTTTGAATATACAATTGAGTTAAAATCAAATAAATAAATAGTGATATGTAAGGATGGGTCTTTAACTAATAAAACTGCTAGTACTCGTTAAAATTGTTTAATTTAAATATAAAAAAAAATTTGGTTGAAACGTCTTAAACACTAAAACACAACTTCGTTGTTACACCCTATCTCGATGCATGGCCTCTGCCAATGCTCACAATCCATTCCAGATTGAAACTACAGATCCAGCTAAAATTTTAATCATTCCCTAGACTTCTCTTCAGAAATGCTTGCAAGATCTGCGCATTTGATATTTGTAAATTCTTCCAATTGATTTGAAATCGTCTACTCTTCCACCTTCAGGAATCTCTCTGTGATGTTGGAGAATTCCGTTCGCCGTTGTGATGTTGGAGGAGCAGCAACTGAAGATGTGTGACGTGATACTGAAAAGAGAACACCGATTAATATGTGCATTGATAAAAACTCTTTAACAAATTGCAGCTTTTCGCTGTCGTTTGTTCCAAAAATTAAGTTCTTTCTTCAACCTCTGATAGCTCAACTTCATCTTCCACCACACCAGTCCTGTCCTGCGCCTAGCAGCTAAGCTTCTTATGACGCTTTTTTCTCAGACCAATACTACAAGCAGACATTTATATTAATAAAGGAGTTATTAAAAAAGCCTTACTTTTTATTATTATTAATAGTCAATGTAAAATTAAAATAAGATAAGTTATATAACCAAGGAGCACGCCAAGATTCATCGTTATTTTAAGTGGCTTGCATTAAGGAATATTAAATGGTTTTAACATGCCAAAGTAAGCACTACTTACTTCACCTTGGTCCTCTGTTTATAAGTTTTGAAAGTGCCATCTATACCATACAGGCACACGGCTAGTTCCTTCCACTAGCGCCGATTTCGCTCTCTGGCACCTTGAGTTCTCAAGAAACCCTTCGCCAGCCAGGTAAAACCTGTGATGACGACGGGTGTGAGGAACGTATCTCATTTGGACTGAAACATTATTGTTTGATTAGAAAACAAAATAAACACTCTATAATAAATATTATTTTTGAACTTTACAACCAGTAATAAAACTTACTTCATGTTTATGATCTCTCTTTTTATCGGCAAACACGGAACAGAAAAAATATACGAATAAACCAAACGTGGACAAAATAATACAAAGCAAATGACAAAGAATTTGTCAACAATGAATGAAGACATTATCTGTCAGTTTTTGTTTTTGGGAAACGAAGCACAGATTATATTCATCGCCTGAATTTACAGTTTTCTGTTTATTTTATAATAATTAGCTGCCTAAATTTCCTTAAAATAAGAAATTTCAATTTATACGTCATAATATCTAAAATTCTGTGTCAAAAACTTGTTAAAATAAAAACCGATAAATCTCGACTTACATTTTGTGTAGTGTGGTACTACACTAGTACAGTATTGGCCGATTCGGAGCTCACTCCACTTCGCAAGTGCCTAGGTGATGCTTACAGAATGCAAAATCAACGCCATTTTGAACCTTATGCGAAGTGAGAGAGAATGTCGACTTGACATGCGAGTTCGTGTTAGAATTTTATAGAATCGACGTGCAGGTACCATGCGGACATCCACTGGAACAGAAAGGCTTGCAGTTGTACTTGTCAGACTTGACGAATCCCTTAGTGCATTGGCATGTTTCTGGAGCTACACAGATCCCATTTACGCAAGGCTTTGAGCAGATCGGCTGACATGTTTTGTTTGTAGAGTTATTTAGCTGAACTAATTGCCATCCTAAATCACATTTACAAGTCTCGGGGCCGACACAGGTACCGTGCGGGCATCCACTGGAGCAGAAAGGCTTGCAGTTGTACTTGTCAGACTTGACGAATCCCTTAGTGCATTGGCATGTTTCTGGAGCTACACAGATCCCATTTACACAAGGCTTTGAGCAGATCGGCTGACATATTTTGTTTGTAGAGTTATTTAGCTGAACTAATTGCCATCCTAAATCACATTTACAAGTCTCGGGGCCGACACAGGTACCGTGCGGGCATCCACTGGAGCAGAAAGGCTTGCAGTTGTACTTGTCAGACTTGACGAATCCCTTAGTGCATTGGCATGTTTCTGGAGCTACACAGATCCCATTTACGCAAGGCTTTGAGCAGATCGGCTGACATGTTTTGTTTGTAGAGTTATTTAGCTGAACTAATTGCCATCCTAAATCACATTTACAAGTCTCGGGGCCGACACAGGTACCATGCGGACATCCACTGGAACAGAAAGGCTTGCAGTTGTACTTGTCAGACTTGACGAATCCCTTAGTGCATTGGCATGTTTCTGGAGCTACACAGATCCCATTTACACAAGGCTTTGAGCATATTGGTTGACATGATTTCTTGGCGCTACCTTTTGTTTGAAGTGGTTCATACCCTGCTTTACAGACGCAGTTTTCTGGACTAATGCAATTACCATTGTCACATCCGTTAGAACAGTTAGGTTTACAAGTATATGCGTCAGACTTAACGTATCCATAATTGCACCGGCAGGTTTCTGGGGATATGCAAGTGCCATTAATGCAAGATCTTGAACACACTGGTTCACATTCGGGTCTGAAAAATATCAAATGGTTTTATTTAATAGACAGATTTCTTTTTTTACGAACGTCGAAATTAAACATGTGACATGATAATTTGGATGTGTTATTTGGTATTTGAAGTCGTAAAATGTTTAAGAAATGGCTAAGTTCCACAATAAGGCTGATGTTATAGTCATGCTGTTTAGTTTACACCGTCCATCATGGAAAATATTATAATTATGTGTGTTTCACAGGTAGGAAAGCCATGCTTCGGTACGAATGGGCTGGCTCGACTGCAGTGATATTACAGCCTCAGAAGACAATGTAAAACAACGCTTATGTTGCGTTTTAACGTGTGAAGTAAAGGTATCCTCTATTCTTTGTCGGCAATAACCAGTCCTGTCTTTAGTGCTGTTCTAGGAATAATGCCGATCGTTCACCATCAAGTGATTGTGGTGATGTCGATTTGTTAGTCGCCCTAAGCAATAAACGTGCCAAAATCAAATACACAGTACACATAGAACATAAATAGTAATAAAAAGGACTATTGGTATGCACTTACGTATCTGAAAATTTTCTCACATTTCTATATCCAGGACAACACATGTGTACCGTTCGGGCGTATGTTACCTGAAATTAATATTAATTATTGTAGCGCGGTATCCAAACGGTTCGTGCCGGATGCATGCGTTGAGTTATTTTTTCATATTTAATTATAATTTTTTAATGCCATGCCAT